GTGCCAGGGGCCCCGCAATAACCCCAGCTAGCTCCCTCAACACCCTGGGGTGGAGATCATCCGGACCCGCTGACTTGAACGCGTCCAGCCCCTCCAGAAGCTCTCTAACCCGGTCCTCCCCAACCTGAGGTCTGAAGGCAATCCCCTCGAGTCCGGCTTCTATCACAGCAGGGAAGTCCCGGTCCCTGCACAAGAAAACGGAGGTGAAGAATTGGTTAAAGAGGTCCGCTTTCTCTTCTGACGCAACCACCAAATTGCCCAGCGTATCCTTATTATATCAGTATAATAACCAATGTCTGGTGAGATGACCCCATTGTGCTCCTGTTTAACTTACTACACAAAGGGCATGTCTACACGAGATGTTTGCTGCACAGTTGATTAATTAACTGTGCATTAAATGTCTTGGCATCTACACATGTGTCCCTATTAGTGTGCAGAAAACTAGTGCATTCTGCAGCAGGGTAGTAAATACAAGTGTACTGTGTTGTAAATACAAGTACTACCCTGCAGTGGAGTTTTTTCATATGCAGCAGCACACATATAGATGTTGACCCTGCTGGCTGGGGCACAGGAATGCTTCAGTGCCATGGCTGCCTGCCAGCTAGCCCCCACTGAAGCACCCTCAAGCCCTAGCCAGTCCCTCCACAGCACATAGAGCCCCCTTGGGGCTTTCTGCCAGCCTGGGCTGCTTTGACCCAGCTCAGTATGGTGCGGTCCAAGCACACACACAAACGGTGCACCCAGGAGCTTCCTAGGAGCAATAAACTGCGGAGCAATAAGCTCTGCAGTTTATTGCGGTGCATTAACGGCATGTGTAGAGTTACCCAAAGTTATTCGTCCTGTTATTCAACATTTTAAATCTTTTGTAATTTTAGAACAAAATCTCCTTATACACTGGTATACAAAGGATGGGATTTTCAAAAATTGCTTCTGGTCGGGTACATGAGAAAACATCGTGAAATAAGATAGATTAGGAATTTTGCTACTCCAAGGTAGCTGCCTATGTGCCCGTTCCTATTTTTCAGTAAGAGCAAGGTAGCTTATGTACTTTGAGGAGTAATTTTGCTTGTGTGTCCAACCCTTAATGAGGTTACAAGAGATGGTGAATTTAAAAAAATGAGTAAAGAGAAGATGTAAGTCATTTAAAAGTGTCAGAACATCATTCACTTCAGAGCGCAAAGGTTTTTTGAGGGGAAAAATCTCCCTGGAATTATCACTGCCATGAGCTACAGTGAAAATCAAGTTACCTTCAGATCACGATCTCAAATTAATGCCAAAGTCTTCTTGAACATGGCCTAGTTCAGGTCTGAGAACAGCTTGTTCAGGGGACAATCAATAGCAGTAAGAATAAACCAAGAAGAGCCCCTTCAATGCTGTACATTTCACTAAACGACAACACTGTTCAGGACTGATTAAGTGCCTGCTTCAAGATACTATGTCCTTATGATTATAGAAGCACTATTATAAACCAGTAAAGAAATCAGGATGGTTTGTCTCAGAATAGAGCTGATTCCCCTTAATTCTCATTTAGATTCAAATTTCTATAAATACCTAGAATCACTGTACATTTCAATATAACTTCTGGAAAGCTAAAGTACAAGAACAACGTGATTTAAACTTTCTGTTTGTTCAGTCTGTGTTTGTTACTATAATGATAGTGCTATGAATGTTTTTTAAAAGCACAGATTGTGAAAGCCCATCTTCAAGGTCCACTACAGAAAGGGAGAGGAATTTTTCACTTTCTCAACAGGAATACACTCTTTATGCAGATGCAGCCTCTGAAGGGTTTTTGTAGTGCTGCCAGTTTCAAGTGTTTTTGTCTACTTGGTAGTCTCTGTTTCTTTGTTATTCTTTTATTCCTCTGTAAATGTCTACATTTTTGTTCATTAGCTGGGGCTGTATGAATAGCATGACATGCTTACTTCCAGCACTTCAAATTTTAATAAAACGGACTATCAAGCAGTTAACATTAACTTTTCTCTATTTAGTTTATAAGCCACTTCTGAAGCAGTACATGCACACATTTATCAGAACTAAACTTAATGCTGACATGACTGATGAAGTTTTGCTCTGCAGTTCAAAAGTGTGATTGCACCTTTTGTAGACATCCCCCCCAGCCAGCTTTAACCCAGGCTAATTTGGGTACTGATAACAGTGTAGCCATGGCAGCATGGAGCCCAGCCTCAGGACAGTCACTCTGGTCATGTCTAGATGAGCATGGCCATGTGGTATGTGGTGCCACAGACACATCTGTGATGCCGCAGACTGCACATTCATATGTTCTCTGTTCTTCAAGGTAACAGCACACGGGTGAGATTGACCCTGGGATTTCCGGGGTCAAAAAAACCTGCATGAAATGAAAGCTAGGCAGCACAGACAGGCCCAACCCAAAACAGGAGCCTGGCCGGCCAGAGCCATGCTCTGAGTGGCAGGATCACTACTGTTGCAGCCTCAAGAGACCCCTAGGACCCCAGGTAACGCTGTTGGGGCAAGCCTAGTACTGGCCCCAGCCTCCCCTACCCTACCCGGGAGAGCCTGCTGTACACCAGAGGATGCATGGCACCACTGTTCCTTTTTCCTGGGGAAGCAAATGTTCACGCTTGTGTGGACATGGCTTCAGTAATCCACACTGAAGGTGTTTTTCAGCCCTTGTTGAACTGCTAACTGTTACACTGATATCAGTCAATCCAGTTTAAAGCTGATTCAGGGATGTCCACAAAAGCTCAGTAAATTGCATGATCCTGTCCTGGGCTGCTAGGGAAATATTTTTGTTTTGTTTCTTAGCAGTAAATAATAAATTCTATAGTAACACTGCAAAAGTTATAGGAAAGTATGCTTTTGAACTAGTTTTAGGTCTGTCAAAAATCTACCTCTGCTTGACATTTACTATTATATGATTGTATCTGTCTTCCTAAATGCCATGCTGTGCACTGTCTTATTTGTCTTACTGTTAACACCAATAAGGTGTCATAAATATAAAAATATTTACGCTCTGTGTGTTTGTAGTTACATTTATAATGGTATCTGTTCTTTTAGGTGGAACTCCCACCTCCTGATCTTGGGCCAAGTTCTGCACTGAATCAGACGCTTCTGTTGCTACGTGAGGTTCTGGCATCTCACGACTCATCTGTTGTTCCTCTGGATGCTCGTCAAGCTGACTTTGTACAGGTATCATGAGTGGACTACTGAAGATGTGTATGTACTTTATCTAAAACCACAGACTTAAAGGCATGAATTCATTTTTTCTCCGCAGCTCTCTTGGGGTCTCTTCATGCCTCGTATTTAATGCTAACAAGGTTGACCACCAAAGTGCGTTGTTATAATACAGTATGGAACGAGTGTATCTGAATACTTAACCAATTACTACATTAAATAAATGTTTCTTTCCAGGTTGTACATTCACCTGTCATCTAATTTGGGTTAGTCTTCATCTTTCTAAGTTAGAACATATTTTTCAAGTTCTTATATTATGCCCATCAGTATGATAGCCAGTTACCTGCTGATTCAGAGCAATTTCCTCCTGAATCTAAACAAGAGCTTCTCATTTCTCTTTATTCTGCTTTGGGAAATAGTTAATGAAAATCAAATGGGGATTACCTAAAGAGTTCAGAAGTCTCATAGCACATGCATACTTTTTTCTCTATAGGTTCTATCCTGTGTGTTGGATCCATTATTACAGACGTGTACTATGTCTGCGAGTAATTTAGGCACAGCTGATATGGCAACATTCATGGTCAATTCACTTTATATGATGAAAACTACTTTGGCTCTCTTTGAATTCACTGACAAACGTCTAGAAATGTTACAGTTTCAAGTAAGTGTCACTATCAATCCAACTACAAAGTTAACCTTCCCATGATCTTGCAGACTACAAACTTTGAATACCTTTTGAGACATATATGCCTAATATTAGCTTACAAATGTAGGCTTCCACCTAGTAGCTCTGTTCTTCAAATAATATTGGAATCAGTTTATTCTGCAGCTCAAGACCTAGAATCTAGATGTGACACATTTGACAGTTTCCTGAAAATGTTTTATGAATAGAACAAAGGAATGAATTTTAGAGAAATCTAAGTCAGACATAAGAAGGCTATTGATTTATTGATAGATTAAAAATACTTAACACAAATCATTTGCTTAAAAAGTTTAGCATAAACAACTTGAAAACTAATGAAAATATCCAAATGCAAAATTAGGCTTTCCTGAGAAATCAGCAACATTTTTAGTATATGTACTATAGCTATCTATCTATTATCTGTCTCCTTACCTATTAGCTGTCTCCTTGTTGAGTAATAGAAGTTTTTGCTTCTCCTTTAGATCAGGCAAGAGTAATAAAACAAATATGACCTTCATTGTATGTATAAAAATAAAGTTGGGCAATTTTGCAAGATATTCATAAAGCCAATATTTAACCTTTTTTCAAGAAGTATTTTTTATCCTCTACATTTCAGGTTGAGGCACACTTGGATACACTTATAAATGAACAAGCATCTTATGTGCTAACTAGGGCTGGTCTAAGCCATATATACAACTCTGTGCAGCAATACAAGCCAGAACAGGTAATCATTTATAGTTTCAAGAGGTAGTATTTCTTATGATACCTAGTTTTGGCCTAGAATTATAGAAACTGGTGGTGTCTGTGTTCTGAATCGTTTAAATCTAAATAAGATTTTTAGAAAGCATTAAAAAATGTAGTCATAGTTCCTCCGTGTTAAGCATTATAATGTATTGCAGTTGTTTATGCTACAGGTATTGCTAAAAACCTTTTCCTTTCAACTATATTTTTGTTTTTGATGTCTTTTAGCTTTCATGAATATATTATTCTCTGTGTTTGAAAGTAGAAAAAAATACTGTGTATAGATAGAGAGTAGTGTATTGTGCTGAAGGGAAGAATTTCTAGATTTAGGATTCTGTTGCTTAAAAAGATATGCAATGCCTCAGCTCAATAGGGAAATGTTAAGATGAACCGTTTTGAAATGCAGCTGTACCCAAAACGGTGCTTATTTGATTTCCTAGTCGTTATTCATCCATCCATTTTACAAAACCATTTTCAAAACTACTGTTATTAAACTGTATACGAGGTAGCTGGACTGCTTGGTGGGGAGAGTAGCATTGTTATCACTGGTAATAGAGAAGAAAGAGAAAGCTTATGTGGGCAGATGAGGAGCGCAGTGTTAGCCAGCTTTAATTAAGGAAGTGATTGAACATAATTTAGATAGCGTGAATTAGTGATTGTTGTTACTGTTTTCTAGTACCATCACCTGTGTAGTGATTGATTCATAGGGCAGATAGTCAGACCTAGGCCCTGCCCTACAGGTATGGCAAAATTACTGTAAAATTTAGGACTATTTCATGATTTATACAGTGGCATAAATCTTTCCTTATTTGATAAATTATGTTTAGGGTCCCCTGTCAAATTTGCCTAGTTTGGATTCAGTGTCACTGAAGGCTGCAATGGTAAGTTGCATGTTGTTCTGTCATTTTTTGCAGTTTTTTTGTTCTGTCACCATTTAAAAAAAAAATACTGATAAATTCATAGGCCACAGATTATATTTGTCTAAAAGTATACTTTCTGTTTTGACATTTAATATCTGCTTCTCCTGTAAACTTTTCAGGCTCTTCCATCAAACTTTGGCAGTTAAAGTAAATTCTAAAATCCATTTTTAATAGACTGTGCTAAAATATAGTTATGTACTAAAAATAGAAGTAAATTCTAATAAAATTAAAATAAACTGCATTTGTTTTAGGATCTTAGACATTGTAGCTGTTACTTCATTGCTATTAATCTTGACAAATCAATTACATTACTTGGAAGAGAAAAAAAATCAATTCAAGAATAATTCAAGACTCGGGGTATTTTTAACAGATGGAAACGTGTTTATTTTTGCAAGCTAGTGCAAAGACTTTAAAATTAACTGTTCCTTATATCAAATTAATGGCATGGAGAAATGTTTGATAATGTATTGTGTAATGCTTTACATAAAACATATCCCACTCTTTTCCAAGTTTAAAAACCCATTAGGTTGTATGTTTTGGAATATATTGTTTTTAATAGTTGGTATCTGACCTAAGTTTAATTTGACCTGAAGAAATAGTACAAATATAAAATTATTTATGAACTGGTAGTAATAAAATACCAGGTTCTGGAACCTTGAGAAACACAAAGTTTCTTCCAAGAATGTTACACTGTGAATCATCTTGAATTGTTGAGAGCACATACCTAACTGTAATTAGTTCCAATCATTGAATTTTTTTTGCCTCTGCATGCTGAGATACAAGAATTTATAGATATAAATTATACTAAAATGTAAAAGTTTAATTTGATCAAAGTAGATAAGTGAAGCTTACAAGTGAGGTACTGGACATATACTAGAATTGTTTTTAGTTGCATCATCAGTTGATGGTTTTTCCCAAAGGAGCAAGAAGAAGTTAATTGGCACCTGTGGCAATCGCACAGTTCAGTATCCAGCTTAAATGAATTGTCAGTCCTTCTCAGTTAGCTTTTCAAGTGCAGTTTTTCTCTGAAAAGATGACAGCATATACTATAACTCAGTAGTTTTTCATATAAAATATGGTTTTTATGAGAGAGACTTTTTCCTCCCTAAATTCTTAAAAGGTTGGGCTCTTTAACTACACTGTGCTTGGCTTACTTATTGTTACCATTAATAAAGATTATCTGAACAGAATTTTCTCTTCAGGCCAGTAAGAACACAAAAAGCACTTTACCGTCCTAGTATTCTGTCTTCGGCAGTCACAAAAGTGGATGCTCGATGGAGAGCGTTGAACTGGATAGATCTAGAGTTATCCATCTCCTATCCAATATTCACGCTTGCATCCACCATTATTGGTTTAAAGATGTCAAAGATAACATCTCCAACTATTCTGTTCAACAACTGTTAATAGATCTATCATCAATAAATTTGCCTAGTCCCTTTTTGAACCTGCTATGCTATCTCTGTCTGCCACCTACAGTGGCAATGAATCCCACAAGTTAACTGCATTGCATAAAAAAGTTATTTCTCTTGTTAGTTTTAACTCTGTCCCCTACTAATTTCGGTGGGTGCCCCTTGTTCTATCTTCTTTATTCACTTGGCCCACACACTTCTGTCATATCTGCCCTCAGCCTTCTCCTTTCCAAAGTGAAGAGTCCTAACACTTTTAGTCTCTCCTGGCATGGCAACTGCTCCATGTCCCTGATCATTTTGGTTGCCTTTCTTTGTACCATTTGTAGTCCTTTTTGAGATGTGCAGACCAGAACTGCACACAGAATTTAAGATGTGGCAGCACCATAGATTTGGATTATGGTACAATAATGGTCTCTGTTTTGTTTTTGTTTACTTCTTAATGATGCCCAACATTTTATTGGCTTTTTTGGTCTCTGTTGCACATTGAGTTGACCATCTTTTCCTGGGTTATATTTTAGTTTGTACAAATTCAGGCAGGTTCACTGGGGTTGCATGCAAATGCAATAATTTTGTCTTGATTGGCCAGAGAAGAATCCGCTTAATTCTCTCATAATTGTGTTGTCTCTATAGGACTAACTTGATTAAGGGTATTGGCAGACAAACAAATTACAGAGAGTTAAAGTGTGCAAGGACTTTTTAGTTTTGTTTTAGCTGCTCTACAGTAATTGTTGAGTGGAAGTCAAACTGTGTTAACTTTGCCCAAATTCAATGCAGGAATAAATTACCACATTTAATTTTTTCACTTATTAGTAAGAGCAAGGGCATCAACAGATTTTGCAGAGAAGCTTTGACTTGCTGTCACTTGTTTGTCCATACCCTTCCATTCTCAAATTAGATAAATAAAAGGAACTAATTGGTTAATTAATGAGGTCTCATTTTAATGAGGACACTTTTCAGAGAACTTGGTTTTAGAAATAATTTGCATATTCTTACAAGTTTTTGGTGTTCTTGATGTGATGTATGTTCCCAGATTCAGACATCTTCTTTCTTAGGTTCAATTTGATCGCTACCTGTCTGCTCCAGATAATTTACTAATGCCACAACTGAATTTCCTCCTAAGTGCTACTGTGAAGTAAGTGCTTTAAATGAGCAGAAGTACACATTTAATGGTTTTACGGTCTGCATCATAAATTAGGTTTTTTAACTGTAAGAAAGTTTAGATAGTCCTTTAAGTCTTGATTTAATTAATTTTTGTTGTACTCTTCTTGAGCAAGCAATCAATAAGATATATTTTTGTAACTTTCTAAAGTAGCTTCTTCCTAGTCCTCGGACACAATGAAGTGAATTGCAATTGCTTACTGAAAAAGTATTCATTAGCAATTTCTTATTTCTGATGTAGATTACTTTGGAATTGTTTTATAAGCCTTCCAGTGATAATACCCTACATAATTCCCTATTGTAGCATTCTCTTTTAATGCCATTTCTGTAGCCACTCTGTTGAACTCTGTAACTTTGTGTCTTTTATTGTAGAATGCTGTTGTTCTTGTTTAATCTAATATATTACTTTTTTTAGGTTTTTTGTGATTTCTGCTTTTGAAATATTAGTGAGGACTCGCATATTTATATTTCTTGTTTTCATGAATATATTCTAAAATATGGCCACACTGACCCTAAGACTTTCCAATTAAATGTGAAGCACTTGAAGGTTTGTAATATTTGCATTCAACAAATTAGATGGGCTTCAGTGTTCAAAAAGTTATCTCGATGCTAATTTTAGCAGCTTCTCGACGCTTGTGAAAATAGTCATATTACGTAGTATATGGCATAAACTTGCATTTTAATCCTACAAAACTCAGGAACCTCACAGTCAATTACAATCCAGTTGTATGCATGCATGACAGAGGACAATATCATATGACTAAAACAGCTGCATGTATGACTCATTTTTCCCCCTATCAGAAAGCTTTAAGAATCATTAACGTTTCTGTTTCCTACTTTTTTGCTACTAGGAAGTTTGCTAAACATACTGATAGAGCATTCTGTGTGTCTTGGTGCTCTACCTGCCTAGTTTTGTATCTCTGGGGCCCTACCTCTCCAACATTTTGGCAATGGCAGTGCCAGGTTCCTTACACCACAGCACCTCTTTTTTTTCTGGAGTGATCGCTTCTAAGAGTGATAACATGATTTGAATCTCTAAGACTACAATCAGTAGTCTTTTTATTATTATTTAACAGAGGCCAGATAACAAAAGTAATAGAATATTTTAGTATAAACTAGTTGTTTAGTATAAACTAGTTGTTTGTGCAGTTTGTGGTCAGTTAGCAGTTATGACAACTCACCATGTCTGGCCCATAGTCTGAGGGGGCCAAAAGGCCAGCTGAAATCATGGAGTGATTAGATATGTTGTATCCTTTGCAGGTCTCATGGTTGAAAATTGGAATATCCTGGGGAAACAAGGAGACATAAAGAGGAAGCACAATAAGACATTATACCCACAAACATTCCTAGTAACAGTCTCTTCTGCGTTGTTCCTACAACCGTTGTTCTGAAGAACAAAAAGAAATGAGATTGTTTGAGTAGAAGGCTTTGCAATCCTGTGTGTAACAGAGGAATGGCTGCAGTCAGAATAGCGGTGCTTGTTGCAATGGAAGAGCAGGGTCAAGAGGAAGGAGAGAAAAATGAAGGAGAGGGTCTGTGGACCCGCCCAGAGAGACTCAGTGAAGTCTTTCCCCATGAGGATCTGGAACCTCTCAGCCCTGTTGCACAAAGCACCTATGGGGTCTGTAACATTAATTTTTGTAGCTTGGCACCTTGACCTTTCCTGTAGATCTCCACACAGCCATGTGTTAGGTGTCAGTGTTGTGCACTTTTGAAATATGGAAATGAAAGTGGGATGCAGCTAGCACAATTAACATTAGCAAGACTTTCAATAGCAGAGCTGTTATCAAAACTTGGTATATAACACCTCTTTTTTTTTTTACCATTATTTCTAATACTTGGTAGGGTACCAGACTGCTAAAATGCATAGTTCCCAGCCGTATAGATTTGTTCCCCCTCCTGTGTGTTACTTCTGTATTTAGACTTTCCAGACTGACTCTTAGTGTGACTGTTGCCAGTGAAAGCACTTCGTTTAGATGACAGATCCCTAATTTTAATCCCTTTGCTGAATGTGTAGTCATGACTCCATTTAAAGGGGCAGCTCTGCGGTCCAATCTCTTGCCTACGGGGTTGGGAGTCTAAAGAATTTGTTTTGGTGTCAGTCTTTCATTTTATGACATTTGGTGAGTAAATTGGGATTGTTTAAAGGTGCTTAGCTCTTCTAAAAACTATTAAAATCCATAGGTGATGCAGGCACTTGGCACCTCTGAAAATCATATCCTTAACCTTTTGCCCATTTGAAAAATGAAAATGGCTGCCACCTGTTTTTTACTGACTTTGGATCCTTGGCAGTGCTATCAAAATTATGGGTTGCTGGCATGACTTTTACAGTTACTGAGCACCTGCGTTGTCCATTGAAGTCACTGAGCGCCATGATGGATAAAGGGCTTTTGTTTTGTTTTGTTTTAACAAAAAGCTGTAGCCATTTCAGTTTAAATCAGATTTTTATTTACATGTTCTTTACTTCCAATTTACTACTTATTTACTAAAATGGGTATTTGAAAGACTGTGGGTTAATGTAAATGTGGGAAAACAGCATGAACTGCTTTGTGATGAGTGTCTCCTCTAGGCCACCAAATAAGGGAAAGATGCTGGGTCTGCCTTTTAAAACTGTGGATTGAGGTTTCCAGATCACTGAGACTTTAACTACCATGATATGTGCTGAGAAGATAACAGTGCACAGACTAGCTAGCAAGTTTCTGGACTGCATTGGAAACAGCCTTTTTGTGCAAAAACAACACAGAAGGAGGCTCTTATTTGCTGCTTACTAGTAAGGAGGGAATTAGCTGGAAGTTAACTTGGGTGACAGTGAACAGAGTTCATGAACCTGAGAGAGGAAAGGAAGGAAAGGAGGAAGAAAAACAGCAGAACAGAATGCCAGACTTCAGAAAAGCACACACAAACAAACTCAAGAGCTGGTGTAGGCAGGTTCCCAAGGGGAAGAAGTTTGTGGGGTAAAAAACAGAATCCATGAGAGTTGGTTTTTCCTTAACCAGTATTAAGTGTACAAGGGCTTGTACACTTGTATCCCCATACAAACACAGGATAGGACAGCTGTAGGGACTGGGGGGAATGATTGGGGAGCTGGGGGTTTGAACTGGGAACTGCAGAATCAATCTGGGAGCTGGGGGAAGCCCCTGTTCATTCCCTCAGCCCCCTCGGCTTCTCCCAGGCTGCCAGCTCAAGCCTCAGTTTGTCTGGCTGCCTCCCCGCTGGGGCAAGGCTGTCAGTGTTGGCAGCCCTGGGAGAAGCCGTGGGGACTGGGGGGATTGAGCCGGGAGCTGGGGGTAAACCTCTGTTCATTCCCTCAGCCCCCGATCATTCCTCCCAGTTCAATGCCACAGCTCCCAATCATTCCCCCAGCTTCCTGATCATTCCTCCCACCCGCCGCGGCTTCTCCTGGGGCTGCCAGCACTGCCTGCCTCGCCCCAGCAGGAGGGCAGCTGGGGGAGCCAGGGCTTGAGCTGACAGCCCCCAGAGAAGCCGTGGGGGCTGGGGGGATTGAACTGGGAGCTGGGGGGAAGCCCCTGTTCATTCCCTCAGCTCTCTATCGTTCCACCCAGTTCCCGGTTCAATCCTGCAGCTCCCCGATCATTCCCTCCAGACTCTACGGCTTCTCCCGGGGCTGCCGGCTCAAGCTGGGGCTCCTCCAGCTGGTCCTGCCAGCACTGCCTAGTGCCTGCCTGTATGGTCTATGGCCATATCTCTCTGAATCAATTCAGAGGCTTCTGATTCGATTCAGAGAAATTAATGGGTTTCCCAATTCAATTCAGATTCGGAGATTCAGCTGCTGAGATCTCCTTCGAATCAAATGGACTACTGAAGGTTCACACGGCCCTACCAACTGGAGGCATGCTTCAGCTGCCAGCCTGGCTCCAAGCAGCAGGATTGTCACTGCTGCAGCCCCAGGAGGCCCCCAGAACCCTATGCGAGGCTAGTGAGGCCAACCCAGTACTGGCCTCAGTCTTCCCTACCCCACCCAGGGTAACTTGCCACGCATCAGAGGGCATGTGGCACAGGCATTCCCCGGGGACAGCTAGTGGTGGCGCAAGGTGCTCTGCTGCTGCTTTTCCCTGGGGAACCAACGAATGTTCAATGAATTGGATGAGATAAATGCAGAGCCATTTATCTGTGAGACATCAGGTGGGGTCCCAGAAGACTGGGAAAGGGCAAATATAGTTCCTGTCTTTAAAAAATAGAGCAAGTAAGGACCCTGGTATTTACAAACCAATCAATCCAGTTTAGATAGAAAGACACTGGAGCGTCTTATCGGAGAGTGTATTTCTAAATATATGATAGCAAGGTGAAATGAAATAGCTAACATGGATGTGTCAAGAGAAAGTCATGCTTAACCAACATAGTTTCCTTTTATGACAAGAAGATGGGTTTTATGTACAGGGAGAGAGATATGGATATGATATACCTGGACTTCAGCAAACCTTTTGACACTGTCCCCCAGGACATTCTTTGTAAGTAAGGTAAGGTGAAATTAGGTGAAATTACTACAAGGTGGATATATAACTAGTTGGATCATTTTACTTAAATCATGGTTATTAGTTGACTGGCCACTGGTATCAAATGAGGTTCCTCAAGTTTAGGACAGTATTTTCATTAATTGTTTGGAGGGTAGAATTTCACTCAGTAAATTTTGCAGATGAAATGTAGCTGAGTAGCTAAGAGGGGTAGCTGGTGTGTTAGAGGACAGTATTAGGATTCAAAATGACACTGTTAAATTGGAAATATGGTTTGAAGTATATCAGGTGAAATTCAGTAAGGTTAAATGCAAAGTAATGCATTGAGAATGAACAAACAAGATGAGGGATGACTGGGTAGGCTGTAGTACTGGAGAAAAGGACATGGGGGTTATAGTGAACTGTAAGCTGAATGAGGCAACAATGTAATATTTATTAAAAGTAGTGCAAGACACTTAAAAGTATTGCAAGGCACAGGAAATACTACTGTATTTCCACTCCATTCAGTACTTGGTGAGACTTCACCTCACCTGGAGTACTATGTCCAGTTTTAAAGATTACCCTTCAAGAAAGATGTCGATGAATTGAGAGCCCAGAGTAGAGGAACTAAAATGATTAGAAAACTAGAAAGCATGACATGTTAGTAAAGGCTGGAAGAAATGGAATGATCTAGTTTGAAGAAGAGAAGACTGAGGGGGGATTTGATAATGCTTTTTGAATGCAAAAAGGGATAGTGATCAACTGTTTTCTGTGATTATAAGGAATAGGACAAGAAGTAGTTGCCTTAATTTAAACAGGAAAGATTTAGGGTGGATACCTTTCTAACCACTAGAATGGTTCAGTACTAGAAAAGATTACCTTGAAGTGGCAAAATATCCATAATTGGAAGTTAGTGCAGATTTGACAAATATTTATCTAGGATAAAATAGATAAGGATGTTCCTGCTTTAAGCAGGGAGTTACAGTAGACAAGATGTCCTGCTGATGTCCCTTCTAGCCCTATTTTCCTGTCTTTCTGTGATTTTGTACGTGTTTCCCTTAGGCCCCCTCTATATGTTACAGGTATTGTGTGAGATCAACCGTGTGTGCAAAGTAGCTATGACACAACAAAAAACTCCAACCAGCTGTAAAGTTAGACCTTGAAAATGTGTACTAACTTTGTAGCTGGTTGCTATCCAGCTTTAATTTGCATGTGTAGCAGGGTCTACCCTGTGGCTGCGAGCCCCATCAGCTGACGGGGCTCC